GACAAATCATATCATTAAAGATTGTCACGAAACGCAAGGTCACGCTGGTTTAGCTGGAACTTTAACTCAAGTTAGAGAAAAATTTTGGATACTAAAGGGTCAACAGCATGTAAAAAGTAATATTAACAAGTGTGTGATTTGCTACAGATTTAAAGCTAAGCCACTAAGTCAGGATATCGCTCCTTTACCAACAGAAAGAATAACAAAGGCAAATCCCTTCGAAGTTGTAGGAATTGACTTCGTTGGTCCTATGAGTACAAAGGATGAAATTGGGATGGCTTATCCGTATTGCTCTGTATACACGCGCTGTAACAAGAGCAGTGCGTCTGGAACTAGTGTCTAGCCAAACAGCAAACAATTTTCTTCTGTCCTTTAGAAGATTTATTTCAAGAACAGGAGTATGTTGAATGATATATTCAGACAATGCAAAAACCTTCAAAAGAGCAGACAAGGATTTACAAAAACTATGGAATACCATCAAGGATACAGAAGTTCAAAATTATTTTGGTAATAATGGTATTGAGTGGAAATTCAATGTGGAGAAGGCGGCCTGGTGGGGCAGTTTCTGGAAAAGGCTTGTTAGATCTATCAAGTCATATTTGAAGAAAATACTCATAAAGATTTCACTTAAATTTGAAGAGCTGGAAACAGTTTTAATTGAAATTAAGGCAATATTGAATTCACGTCCGCTGAGTTATGTTTATAGTGAAGTCAGAGAACCAGAACCGCTGACACCAGCTCATTATCTAGTTGGACAAAGACTGACATCTTTACCATCTGGCAAATTTCTTGAACCTATTCAACTAAAGAAAATTTAACAAGGCGATATAAATAACGGCTAAGGTTATTAGGTTTTTGGAAAAAGGAATACTTACTTGAAATTAGAAATGTAAAACGAATTCAGAGAGGTAACGCCATAACAGATCTTTTGAAGGGATCTGTAGTTCTAGTACATGAAGAAAAATTACCAAGATTATTATGGAAGATGGGAGTTATACTGGAGTGTATTCGAGGATGAGATGGAAAAATAAGGGCTTGCACTGTTCGTTTAGCTAATGGAACTCATCTCCTGTGCAGTTATTGTACCCATTAGAAATGACTTGAACCGAATACAGTGAATTTAAATTGTGAACAGTGAGCCTACGAACATTTAAACTTGTAGAACATTAAAAACACTTAGTGTTTAAGATAATTTCAGAATCCAAACCTTTGATGAACCAAGAGTTCATCGAGAGGGAGGATGTTACAGTTTATGTAGCTGGCCACGAGAAAGCGCAGCTTTTTTGCTTTTAGCTTGTTACATTTTTCTTTCCGCATTGTGGATTTTGATATAGATGTAGTGGCAGCCAGAGAAACAATGATGAATGTTCTTCTGTAAGCATACAATTGTTGTAAATAAATGTAAATAAAGTTTCTGTGTGAAAACGAAAATGGAAAAGAATTCCAAGCATTCCTGTGGATATTCATCAAGAAAGGTAAGCAAAAAATCACTTATCAAATGTTGTTAAATGTAAAAAATAAGAACAGTAAAATACAAATAAGAAAAAAGATCATAAATTGCAACATGCCTTTGGGATAGCACGTTTGAGAATTATTGATCAATGCTGACAACACCACCATCTTCTATGTTGTAAACAAAGAATTAGCCTCACTTTGGAATACCATAATGGCTAACATAGTGTGAAATTTTTATGCTACAAATAAAAATGGTTGGAAATTTATTGTGCATAGGTAGCTTGACAAGGAGTTTGGTAGGAACATTTAATAGGATTAATTAAACAATTTGTTAGAAAAATCATCGACTCTTTTATTGTTGGATAAGGAAGCTCTCTCTACTGCATTAGTAGTGGAAGAAGCCTCCCTGAACAGCAGACTATTAGTGAATAGGGAGGAAATGATGATTCCAAAGAAGCCTTGACTTCAGGTCTTTTTCTAACTGGCCAGAAACTGAAAACATTGTCATCAAAACCTGAATTTGAAAATATAAAACTTACATGAAATTATAGGATGTAGCAAGATTTGTTAGATACATTTTGAAACAGATGGCAAAAGGAATGGCCCCTCAATCTTCTGAAACTATGCAGTTATCATTAGGTATGCCAAAATCCACAAAAAAGGCTCTTGTTGAAAGGATAATCGAAGGCAGGGACAGAAAATGCAGATCATGCATGCTGATCACAACAAAGTGGTTCGATAGTGCAGCTAGTCATACCTCTTGAGGTCGACCAGGATATCCAAACCTCTCAAACAGACACTGCTGCTTGTGACATCAGTCATGACTTTTACCACGCACCAGAGTTTCACTGAACTTTGGAATCTAGTAACTGAACAAAAAACGCAAGAATGACATGTTTATGTTTTGAACCATTGTATGTTGGATAACAGAATGAAATGTATATATAAATGCAACAAATGTGCAAGATGATTCACTACAATACAATTATATTTCTCAGCTAATTCGGAGAAAATGGCACACATGCTATTTTGAGTAGCATATTCTCCATTCCTACATTATATGGGGGAAAAAATCTAAAAATTAAATAAATAAAAATCTGAAAACTTTCAGATTTTATATTACTCCCAAAGGGTTTTAACATTTTGTGTTCCTTTACTTATTAAACACCATGTTCTTTGCACTTAAATCCTAAAATTCAATTTAGCAATATCACAAAGTAATAGAGAACATATTTTTAGAATTTCCGATACACAGTCTCGTGCTGGAGATAAAATTATCTCTCCCATACAGTGTTGCCAGTGCTCGCTTTGAAATCGTTGAGTTTCTTAATCAAAAATTCTTTAGTGTTTCACAAAATATGAAATACATAATAAAACAAATTCCAAATTCAGGCTTCCAGATGCCCATATTCCAATGGAGGACTACGTTGTTCAAAATTTGATGTCTCTAGGTACCGTTGTTTTTCACAGTGTGAGAAATACATACATTCATGCAGATTCTTCATTATTTAATTTCTTTAAATATAATGCATGGCTGTAATATTTAGTGGCAACAATTTGAAAAGTGAACTGACATTTATAGCAAACTGACACAAAATGTCAAAATGAAATTAATACACCTTCTGGTCAAATTGCCCCTTTGGGCTAAAAAAAGGGTCTTACAGCAGGTTTGAATACTAGTTACTGTATGGCTGGATTTCATATTTTATTCTGTATAATGCAGGAAAATATTTGTCAAAGATAAAAATTCAGCAGCTCAATTTCAGGAAAAAGATAATATGATATTAAATTCATATCAATTTAATATCATATTATCAAATACATTAAGAATAATTCAGTTATCATGCATTAGAACTGTAATAACAGACTGCTTTGAATTTATGTTATAGAGTGTAAGATTCTTAAATACTAATTTAGCAGCAGAAAAGTTAACTGAAGATACATTCATCTTCATAAAATAGGCAATCAAATCTTTGCTTACGGCGTATGAAATTTTTGACTTTATGCAAAAACATAAATGCTGACACATAAAATTCATTTAAAATAAAAATAATTTTTTGAATTTAGCCTAAAAAATTTAATGTATATAACAGGATTAAATTTCAGCTACATTTGTTTTTTATTTGATCACCAACTGTAATACAAAAGCATGTTAAGTAATTCCATTTTTAAAGCAAAAGAAAATTAGAAGTAAAGGTCTGAATAGACATTTCAAAAATACTTGAAAAATAATTAAAAATTTTTTTTTTTTCCTTTTTTTAATCTCAAAATTATCTCCAAAGGCAAAAGTTATGAAAAACTGAAATTTCCAAATTTAATCAAAATGTGTTTTTAATGTTATCGAAATTTATCAGACAGAACGAAAAATAATATTCAAAAGACGATATTAATTGATACAAAACATACACTTAAAAGGGAGAAATCACTTGAAATTAAAACTGCTGAACTCTAAGCACTAAGCAGCAAATACATTTTAAGCACACAAGAAACTAAGCACATATTGGTCATCTGAAAAGATTTGCAGGTCTTTTTTTTTTTTTTTTTTAAATGATAGATGCACATGAATTAGTATGAAGACCTATGAAATTTTCACGGAATCGCATAAGCACCATTTGAATCACATGCCAAATTTCAAGTAAGTATATACTTCTATGTTAAAGTATGGGGCACCCATACATTGTAGCAACTTGCATACACAATCTTCTTCAAATGATCACATGTTGTACTTTTTATAATATTTATTTTGAAATATTTATATAGTTTTTAGACTCAATAACTTGCATATTTAGCAATAGCTCTTTCAGGAGGTCACTACTTACAGAGGATGATTGTCCAGATCAAGCATCATCTTCAATGCTAAAATATCCATGATTAAACTAACTTTTGCATTCTCCATTCTTAACAATGCATTGAAGTACAAATTATGCCACAGCAATGTGTTAGAATTATGCAGTGTGATGTAAGAAAGACAGTATTTAAACATTAGCTTTAAGGAAGGTCACTCCATATCAATACTAAAACAATCATTAGAAGAAAATATGCTTCAATTTGGCAAAGCTTTTGGGATGACTTAATAAATCAACAGGATTAAAACATCAAACGCAGTTAATTATTATGCTACTTGAAGGTCATTTAAAAAATAATATTGAAATAAACTGAACATATTCCACATGCATTCTAAAATGAATTTTTTTAGCATTAAATATAATACAGAAACTGTTCCCAAAGTACAGATTAGGAACTTTTCATGGGTCATAAAAACAACTGAAGTGTTATATATTTTACTACATTATTTTTTCATGTTTATTCATAATTATTAGCCAAATTTTCACACTTTAATTTTACTTACCAATTTTTAATAATTAATATACATAGAGTACTGATTTTTTTAAAGATATGCATTTCAGTTTGCAAAAAACTGAAAGTATACACAAGTAGGTCATGATATTAAAACATTTAAGAAATACTACAGTAAAGAAAGAATATAAATGTAACAAATATTACAACATAAAAAATCTTCAGTAATTCAAAGTACTTTCACTTACCTAATAAACCTAATGCCGTTTTGAAAATTGAGCAAATTCTTTGATGATCACAATTTGTTGGAAGAAGTTGACTAGAACATGCAGGTTTTATCATCTTTTCACCTTTAAAAAAAAGGGGGGGGCAGGAAACATTTGAAAGTTTATATAAACTAGTAATTTTTATTTAAATTTATATCAGAATAATATTTTATCTTATATATAAAAAGCAAAATATTAGTCATAAAAAGAAATCTAATACTTGATAAATTAGAACAGGCAGTGTTTATTTTGATCAGAGCTAAGACCCAGTAGATAAACTTACATTTAAAAATTTAGGTAACACAATGAAAACTATTCTAGTAAATTTTATGTATTGCAATGAACATCTTCTATGCTATGTCTGCCAGTTTGTTTAAGAGTGATTATCATTACTAAAAGTTCAATAACCACCTAGCTAAAGTGACACCAAAATATGTTTTGATTTACTTATAATGAATGGGATCAGTGTAACTACAAGAAACTGATCTTTACACATCAAAGGAGGAAACATTTGCACATACAAAAACCTATTCTGCAATAATATGAAATAACATTGAGCTTGTTTTATGAGTAGTCAATTTTGCAAATTAGATAGGATTATTTAAAGCAAGCATATTAGGGCTATCTATTTAAGCCCAACCTAATTCTGATCAAGAACATTCTGAGGGACTAATTTGCCAATAACAGACAAAATTCATCAGATTTCTGGTATAAAATTGAAATATTTATTAGATTAAATTACAACATTTACAATTACATTTTACACAAACATGTGAGCATATATTTCAGATGCACCATGGCAAAAAATCAAATGGGTGCTACTTCGATTGTTACTTTGCAAAAATATAATTTATAAAGTTGAAAAACAAAACAAAATAATTGTAACTAATACATAATTGTGATGTATTGAGAAAACAGGACTTACTCTCGATCAAAGGAAATCTGGTGCACACCAAGCAAGTGTGAACCGGGAATGAGACTATGAAAATCAGTTGTAGAAGTTGTACATATTTATGTGCAGAGAGGATTTTTTTTTGGGGGGGGTATAAATAAAGTATTATGTAAAGTAAATAAAGTGTCTCATGAAATGAATATATGATAACAACATAATAAACTGGTGATGATGGCTGTGGAAAAGTAAAGTAATAAGAAGAAGATCCTATGGGAAGAGCTTTTCCTCTATCGGGTATTCACTTTCATTTTCAGATACGGAATTTCCTGAATACAGCTCAAGGTAAAAGTTTTACTGTCATTTTTTGTTCTTTTTCAGAGGAGTTAAATGTGGAGCAGTTTGTGAATGAACTGATGGAGCGAAAAAAAGCTCTTGTGGACTAACTTACTTCAGTTATTACTCTACAAACTGATAATTCGAAACTTTCCATTCAGTTCAAGTACCGATTTCTAGTTTGTCTGGAAAAATATACAGTCTTTTAAAAAACTTGCTGGCTCCTGATAATCCTTCTAATAAAGATTCTGATGTGTTAAAAACAACACTGAGAAACCATTTAAATCCTAAGTCACTTATAATACTGAGCAGGTATGTATTTTTAAATCAAAAACTGCATGAAGAGGAAACAATTAATGTGTATATGTCAGAAATACTGTGTCCTTACGATCCGAACATGCTAAATATGATGATGCGAGATGTGTTTGTCAGTGGGCTAAGAGAGAGGGTTATTCTGGATAGAATTTTTGAACAGGATAATATTAGTTTAAAATGACACCTTAAAAATAGCTTTGGCAATGGAGAAAGCATTAAAAGGTGCAAAAATTGCTAACAATTAACACACAGAAGGGATTATAAAAGTGCAAGAGATAATGTTTGGACTAAATGCAGTGCTGGCAATCTGGCAATGTTACATTGGCAGACTTTTTCAAGGAATGGAAGAGTGTATGGATGACATGCAAGTAACAGGGTCTGACGATGCACATTTAAATACTTTAAAAAATTTCTTCCAAAAATGTAAAACTCATGGCCTAAAATTAAATTTGGACAAAAGTAAATTTTTTCAAGATCAGATTTTTTATTCAAAATGGGTTTGGACGAGCACTGTAAGTAGGCGTTTCTAAACATTAAAAAAAAAAAAAAAAAAAAAAAAAAGAATTGTGTTCACAAAATGTTTTGATGTGTTATGATCTAAAATTACCATTAACATTGGTATCCTATGCATCACCAGTAGGGTTAGGTGTGGTACTTTCCCACAAACTCCCTGACAGAAGAAAGGCCAATTGCATATGCCTCCAGAACACTCATTGAAATAGAGAAAAAGTATTCTCAAGCTCATAAAAAATGCTTTTCGATCATCTAAAAAACAAAACACAAAAATTTCTATACTTAAAAGGTAGGAAATTTATGTTAATTAACAGATTATAAACCTCTTGTTGCAATTTTCAGCAATAGAGAGGCATGCCAGTTTTGGCTGCAACAAGACTCCTACACTACAGCTTGGCATTACAGTCAACTCCTATTCGACATTATTTACCATAAAACAAATGAGCATGGCATGCTGATTTTCTGTCATGACTACCAACAAACTCATGTATGTTTGTATCATGTGATGCATCAAGATTACAGGACTTAATTCTAATTGAAGGCAGAACTCAGTCCTCTGCTATGCATACTTGAAAGTGGCAGTGAATTGAAAGGAAGGGGGATGAAGTACAGTCTCTAAGATGGTTGTACAATATATGGCCAATGCATTTGTATTCCAAAACAATACTGTGAGAATGTGTTAAAAAAGTTGCACCACAGACATTTAGGGACCTTAAAAATGAAAACAACTGCTAGATGCTATGTATTTTGGAATGGCATAGATAAGGATATCAAAAATACTACCAAAACCTGTTTTGAATGTGCAAAACATAAATTAAATCCTCCAAAGGTAAAAAGGTGCATCATTGGGAGTACCCGAGTGCTCCAATGGAATGCATTCACATCAATTATTATGCAGGACCTATTTTTAAGCATATGTTTTTTATAATCGCCAATGCTCACTCAAAATGGCTAGAAGCCTACTTAATGAAATCAAGCTCAGCTTTCAAAACAATAGATTGCTTACATGACTTTTTTGCACAGTTTGGACTACCAATATTGTTAGTGAGTGATAATGAGCCACAGTTCCCTTCATATGAGTTTAAAGTACTCCTACAGAGTAACAGAATCAAATACAAAACCTGAGCACCATTTAAGCCATCTAGTAGTGGGCTGGCTGAATGGTATGTATTTTCAGTAAGAAAATCCTTAAGAACCATGCAAAATTATCTAGGAACTCTGACGCAAAACTCAGTACATTTTTAATGCAACACAGAAAGGCTCCAAACTTAACTACTCTACAGAGCCCTACAATGTTAATGCTGAAGAGGGACATTCGAACAAGAATTGACTTATTGAGAACAGATCAAAAGAAGGGTGGAAGAGCGAGTTTTAAAAGGAAATTACAAGTTTGTAGACCAAAGATTTAGGGTTGGCAATAAAGTGGCAGTATGAAATTATCAACAGGGCAAGAGGTGATAGAGATTTGAGACCAACCAAACCAAGGATAGACAGCTACATTACACTATAAATGTAGACAGTCAGCTATGGTGGCAACATGTCTACCAGATGCATGAGGGAGGGACTATTAATGATAATGGACAGCATACATCATTTTACAGCTCTTACGATTTCCAAAGAAGCTGATAAGAGTGGAATCCCAGAACTTTCCAAAGATAATAGCACCAGACAGATAAATCTATATTTTCTTCCGAGCCCAGGGTTTTACAGGAGCTTCCATCCACCAGACCTGCTGCTGATAAAACCAGATCACCAAAGATACCAGCTGCGCCACAACCTTTGCATTAGGCCACCAGAATTTGATGACCCCCCAAAAAGACTGAACTTGTGATAAAGGGGGGATGTGGTGTATCAAGATTATAGAAATTATTTGTAACCAAAGGCAGAGCTGGCATATGCCAAGTGATGAGACTATGGAAATCGGTCGTGGAGTTGTATACATTTATGTGCAAAGAGTTTTTTTTTTTTTTTTTTTTTTTTTTTTGGTGTGTGTGTGTGTAAATAAAGTATCTTGTGAAATCAATATATGATGATGACACCCCAGTAAGAATGAAATTTGATGAAAAATTTAATTTCTGAAAATATTCTCTTTGTGAAAGATGTAATGAAAAATTAAACCGCATAGAATGTTTTAGACAGAGAAGGTGGTAAACAGGTTACTTATGCATTCTAGCAACCAACATAGTAGAAGTCATTAAATTTTCAGAATGTGCCAAATTTTGGTCACTTTGTACAAAACCAATCTTCAGACTACAACACTCAAAGTGATCTTTCAGTCAAGCATAAGTCACCATTTTCCAGTGCACTCTTTGTTGTATTCTAAGTTCCAACTGTTTTTTTTAAATAAATCACGAGATTTTTTGCTTTAAACTCAATTTTAAGATATACACTTGGGGAATTTGTGAGCAATGAAAAAATGTGTTAAACTTTCTGTAGGAATACAGCAGTTTTCCACAAAATTGCAAAAATAAACAATGACGAGATGTGTTTGGCAGTGGGTGCATAACGGCGAAGTTGTGTGCAGTGCCGAGTTTGTGCAATTCTTTCACATTTATTAAGCAAAAACATATTGTTGTGTACATGGAGATAAGAACAATGCAAACAAATTTTAGAAAAAAGAGCGTTTTTTTTTTAAATGTAGCATAAAATTATTATTTTATAATTAAAATTTGTGTTTTAAATTGCTAATGCTGATACTGTTTGTCAACTTATGTAAAAAAAAATGCCAACTTGCACCCAATAAGTAACTTCTACTTATCTGTAAAAAATTGCCAAACCTCAGCACAGTTTGGCATCTGTAAAAAATCACCAAACTGTGCTGAGGTTATTGCATTAATACGTAAGTACCAAAACAAAATCACAGTTGTAGATTTGAAACATCAACACACTGATATCTCTTTTTTTACTCATTAAATATTTCACTGAAGCAGTCATGATTAGGAATGAAAACTAAGTTAAATGTAATAATAAAAGTAAATTGAAAAAAATTAGCAAATTTTTTGTCAATACATAGCACTAAAAACATCATAACTAACTTAATAGCATAAAAAACATCATAACTAACTTTTCTATGATTATCTGTAGTCAGTGAATTTATTACACACACCTGTATTTATAAGACAGGTAATTCAACAATATTTGGTATGTTAATATTTTGAGAAGTGAACTCAGAAAAAAAGTTAGCTGCATGTCAGTGCAATCCAAATCAATTGACAGTATGAAAAATCAGTCACATACCCCCACCCCACCCACCCCCAAAAAAAAAAGAAAAAAAAAGAAAAAATAACAGAAAATAATATCAAATTAAGAAAAATGCAATAAGTAATTAAACAGGAAGAGAGGATGAAGGCTAATTCTGTTACTAAAAAAGCGATAAAATATGCCAGCATGTATGCAAATCATACCACAAGAATAACAACAATCTGCATTGATGCTCTTAAAAACTATTCTTGTATTTATTATTTTTAACATTTTACACTACAAAATTAATTCTAATTATTCAAACGCACATGCTTGAGAGAATTTTTACTTGAATAATTACAATTAATTTTGCACTGTAGTACATTCTTTTAAATACCAAAAATTATACACAATATTAATAATATTTTGCTGCAACTACCATTGAATGCATACATAGCTTGAATTAGAAACCATGCACATATGCCCAGATATGGAACACATTTACAGCTTAGGTAGCGCAGTCTCTCATTCAACACAATTCCTTCTTTACTTGTTTTCTCCATATTTGTATGGGCATTTTCATTAGCCTTCAAAATTTTTACTATAAATATACAGAATACCGTATTTGACGGCATATAAGACGCACTTTTTTTCCTAAATTTAGTCTCAAAAAAAGTTACCTGCATCTTGTACGTGAAGGACACAGGTTAACTTTTCAATACTGAATGCTATTTTTTGCCCGGATAAAGGACAATAAAGGATAATAAACACACATAACTTTTTCTACATCTACATGTGTGTGGCCCTCTAAATAAGGGTGCGTCTTATATGCCGTCAAATACGGTAATCTGTAAAATTATATACAGCTAGCATTTTACAACACTGCAAAAAATGCATGTCAGTTTCACTGCCAAAACATAATACCCAAATATTAACATCAGTAATGTGTATTATATATTTTAATGCATAAATTCAAATAATCTAGAGTGCAATTAAAAAACTAAATTTAAGAAAACTAATTCTTAAATTATAAAAGTAAATGACAGCATATCGAAAATTATTCCATAAATGAGTTTACTATTATTGTGCTAAATATCTTACCATCGTATTCAACATCAGCCTTTTCTTTGTCATCTTTTTCAATTTCATTTTCATATATATAGGGTTCAGGTGTGATTGTAACCTTTTTAAAAAAAAGAGATATAATTACATTAAAATTTCAAAAATAAATAAATAATTTACTTTCTGAATAGTTAATAAAAAGTGTAAAAGCACAGAATAGGCTGCATCAACAAAGTTTAGAAGGCGGAGCTGTGTGATGTCCATAAATGGGTGGGACTAAGCTTGTGATGTCACAATGTAGTCTTGCATTTATGCTACACTTACTTTCTATTTTTCTATTAAAAATAACAATAATGAATTGTTTATTATTGTAAATTAACATCAAATTCTTTACTTTACATTTCTAACCTTTAAGCTTAGGCATTACTGAAAAAAAGTATAATGAATTGTTTATATTTAAAATTACCATGATACAGTAAGCAAATTCTACCAATTATTAAAATGATAAACAACTTCGCAGTCTCTATTACTTGTATTTCATACAGCTTTAGTATTTTCAAAGACTTTTAAGCTTCAACATTTATACAAATAAAAAGTTTTTTTTTTTTTTTTAATTTAAATTCATATTGAGAAACATTTCAATTTTATCATTTTTTACAAATTACCTTATTGCTACATAACGACATAATCCCTTATAAACCAGCAACTAAACAATTTTCCTTATTTTCTAAAAATTTAAAACTTTACATTAATAAAAAAATAGAAATTTTTTTATTCCATATGAACGTTATATACAGCTTTCATATCAGTTTCTTAAATTCTTAAATCATGTCATATTCTCTGAAGGCATACCAGAATTCTACACATTAATAAATAAAAAAATCTCTTTTCTCACGATGAAAGAAAATATAAGAAAATAAATACTACAAATTTGGAACACTAAGCAGTGCTTCACATACACACACACATATTATCAAAGAACTCATATTATCAAATGCAATTACAATAGCAAACACTACATATTAAAATAATGAGGTAAAAGTTACTTATAGGGTCAAAGTTTACAGTTTTGCTACTGTTGAGTAGATCGTCGGACTATTGATATTTATCATAAGCCGGAAAGCATTATCAACATATCAAAACCAAACAATTAAAAATACAATTTAAATGAAAAAAAGTCTCAAATATAATTTACAATTAAAACAGCAATACAAATTTAAAATACACAAAAGATATGTTAAACATTGCACATAAAATACATTACATTACTGTTCTGCATCACACACTACCTCATTTTCCCTTGTACACAACGCTCTATATTCCCTTGGAAAACATCAAAGAATTGCACAAGCTCAGTGTCCATGTACACATCGATCTATTTTCACTTTAAAATCAGAGAATTGCACAAACTCGGTACCATGCACAACCTCGGCATTGCGCACTACCTTGACTTTGATCATGTACATAGTGATCTTTTTTCACTTGAAGAATCAGACATTGAACAAACTCTGCATTGCTCATATACTCAGAAATCTGCTTTCACTTAAAAGAAATCTGGATAATTGCAGAAACTCGCACATAACCAACTCCATTGATTCGAGTTGTAAAAAAAATGTTTTCAGAAAAATTACACAAAATGAAAATAAAGCTACCAGAATAAAGTAACTACCGAACATCCAAACTGCCATATTTTGACAAGCACCCAATATTATTAAGTCAATAATAATAAATGAAACTTACCTTCAGTCCTCTCCTTTTGCAACCCATCACATTCTCCTTCAAGCATCCCACCAAACATCACATTCTTCTTCAAGCATAACTCTATGCACGCTTCCCTACAAAAACTTTTCCAATCTGTCACCACATTTTTAGCAATACATAATTTTGATCGTATAAAATCATTCCTGCACTTACCCAACCACATATAGGTAACTAGCAAAACACCACACACACTCAATTTATTCTTCACAAACCACACAAACCATGAACAGTTAAGCTTTTGAACAGACTTGTAATTCAATGCTTACATTTGCCTCCAGTAACTCTACACATGCACTCAAAACCATCTATACAGCTCTTACACTCTAGTAGTTTCATATCAATTTCTCAAATTGGGCAATTATATGATCTTGCAATCAAATGTTTCTCCATACACCACTCAATCACGCTTTTTGTACCTCTTCAGTCCATCTGATAAAAAAAATCCAGATTCAGATAATCATCCCTTCTGCAATAAGCACCGAATCAGACATACTCATCAATAATCAAAACATTCCTTAAGCAAAAGAATTCTTTTCTGTAATTTGAGAAGTTATGGTTATAATTTTTAAATCATGCATTCAATATTTTCAATCATTTGGTAATGATCATTTTCAATTGTTTGGTATCTTAATAATACATTTGTGAGAGATAACTCGTTGTGTTAAATGCTAACACTACCACACAACACACAAAAGTAGATTTATATTTTAAAAAATCTTGCACAGAACCTTATAAATCTAACATTTCAACTCAGTTAAAATATAATTTAAGTTTTCTTTAAATAAGAAATAATAGCACATTTGTTTTTAAGAAGAGGCATAACCAATATTACGTCATGAAAAAGGCGTGTCCAAGTCTAAAACAAGTAAACAATGTATTGATTATGCAGCCTATTCTAAGATTGAGCCACAAAAAGTCAAACCCTGCTGTTATAAACCCATGTTATAAATAACCCTCCAGATATAATGAGAAAAAATTGATAGTCCTGTTCTATTTCATATACAGTGTTATTTTGTATGAGAGCAAACCTCTAAATGCATTAAAATTAGATATAACAAAGAGTACAGAAATCTTTAATTTAAAATTATTCCCTATTTTTTCTGCAAGTTTTACTGAAAAACATTATTTATCCTTAAAATTATCCACATTAAGGATGTTACAATCCACATTCAATCTACACAGGAAAAGAGCTTTACATTGTTGTTCTTTTATCTTCACCTTCACCTCACTCTATGGTCTAAGCAAAGGTGTGACACTCAATTCTAGGAGATCTATGACACAATAAACATACCTTAGGATACCATAAGCTGAACACTACCACTGAAACAAAAAACAACCATGAGTTCTCCAATTTCATTTTAAGTACTTTCACCACTGAACTGTAATCAGAACTCTTTTCATACTTGAAGCTATAGAAAATTTGCAATTTTTGTTATTCAGGAAAAGAAGAAGAAATGAATCTTATGAGTTTGGAACTATACAGTTATTCTTTTAGGAAATGAAACATTTTTACTTCCTTGTACGAAGTAAAGGAAGTATTGTAATCATGAAAAATTTTGGGTATCGTATTTCAAAGAAAATATTCATTTCAACCGCCCTCAAAAATGATGTTTTCATGTGGCATCTGTACATACGAACAGAATGAAAGAAGGTTTTTACCAAAAAGGATTGCAAATTGGACTTAAAATGGATTCAAAAGAAATTTTTTCTTGACGTCTGTGTGTACCTAACTATGTATCTTGCAAAACTCAAGAACGAGTAGCCGCAGAACGCTGAAATTTTGTATATGGGACTACTGTAACACGTAGTTGTGCACCTTCTTTTTCCATTGCAATTGACTGCACCAATCGTGTACAAATATATATATTATTCTTATATGTTGGTAAAATGTGCATTTTTTGCTTTAAATGTGATTGAATTATGTATTTTTTATGTTCAGGTTAAGGTTTCTATACCTTTAGTTAATCTGCATGCAATAACTGTAGAATTATCAACAATTTAAAAGTTTAAGTGGTGAGTTAAGCCTAACAAACTCCATTTGTTTATATTTGAAACTCAGTAGAATAGTGAATTACGTCAGTTTCTGCACCCTCAGTGTCTTTTTTTGCTGAATGGAATCAAAAGCAAACTTTTCAGTTTTGTGCAATGAAAAATCTGCCTTTAATTGTAATTTTTTTTTTTTAACTCTTTGAACTGTATTTGGTGTTTCATGTTTTTCTATATTTTACAAGTTTTAATGAAAATGTTTGATTTTTTATGCATTTTTGCTTTGCCACAAAGAGGGAACTGAATAATTGAATGAGAAATACATCTCTATCGAAATTCAAGGAAATAACTTTAAATGAAATGCAGCAACAATTAGTATAACTTAAGAGGCCATACAAGAGATGTGGTGTCCACAACAGACATTTTTTCCTTAGTTTGTTTTGTTTGAGTATAAATGCTCTTGAAGTTCTGTCTTCCTAATAGGGTTTTTGCATGCTTTAGTTCTTTCAAAAGACTTGGGATAGTATTTATAACGGCTATTGAATCTTTACTTTGCAAATATACATATCTTGGGGGAAAAGAAATGCATTCTCATTGGACACTGGATAAGAGACATTAGTGGTAAAAGTATCTTCCTTTTTTATCTTTTCCAGAAGAGTAAAATTCTCACATATTCTTTGACCTAACCCTCTGCATTCTCTGTCAAAAATGAATTCATATAGCGAGCTGCAAACATAAAATGTTCTGTATTGAAGATAAGATGAGCATTACTTGAAAAATATAAAATGGATGAAGTCAAACTTATATCTGCTGGGAATAAAGTTTATCTACATCTAGTTAGTACCACATGTAAAAACTGATAATCAATAATTTCTACTCATGGAAAAAATTTGGATATGAGGGAAAGGTTGAGAAACGCTGAGCATAAGGATGTTGAAGAATTGCTGAAATGATTCCATAGTTCATATAAGGGGTAATCTGTCAATATTTGGACAAATGCTTCTGACAAAGGCTAATGAATTTGCCAGACAGTTTGGAGAGATTGCCTATCTGTAACCAAATTAGCTTGTTGAACAGTTTTAAGAAGTGAAACATTTCTTTAAAAAAAATTTTTTTTTTAGTTCAAAGGAGCTTTGTCCCTGAAGGATTACTGTTTCCGTTTTGCAAATTAGCGTCGAATCACTATAAACGGTGTATCACTTTTCAAATTGTTGCCACCAAATGTTAGAGTCCTGCATAATATTTAAAGAAATTAAATAATGAAGAATCTGCATAAATGTATGTATGTTTCTCGCATTGTGATAAAACAACAGTACCTATAACCATCCAATTTCCAATGATGTAATCCTACTACGATTATGGGCCCAAATTTGAAATTTGGAATTTGTTTTATTATCGATTTAATATTTTGTAAAACAAATTTTTGATTAACATACTCAAAAATTCAAAAGTGAGCAATGGCAACACTCATTGTTAAAAAAACTGTTTTATCTCTGCACAGAACTAGGTATCAGAAAGTCTAAAGATATGCTCATTTAAAATATTTTGCGATACTGCTGTTGAACTGAATTTTATGGTTTAAGTGCAAAGAACATAATATTTAATGTATAAAGGTAACACACAAAACATTAAAAAAAAGCCCCTTTGGACGTAATTTTAAATCTAAAACCTTTCAGTTTTTTTTGGGGGGGGGGTAATGTTAGACATTTCAAAATTAGATAGATGTTAAGAAAAGAGGGGGAAAATATTCTGGTATTTATATATCTTCCTAATAACAAGAAAAAGACATTTCTATAATAATTAATATATTATGGTACTTTTTGATTACTTGCTCCCCCTCCACCATGAAGAGTTGAAAATTCATTGGTGACTCTAGTGAGAAATATCTATTTGGTTACTTCTACAGCTCATATGCAATTTTCTGTGCATAAATAATAGTAAAAAGAAATATTTAACAAGAAAAAAAAATTCTGAATAAGAAAACATAAATGGATGATATTTACATTTTTACAGCCAGTGGATATTGTTCAAGTATTGCTTTCAGAATTTCCTCAATGCAGTCTTTTTCTTTTGATTGCTGGTTTTTTCCCCACATTAACTCAGTGAAGTAAGTCAAAAAGTGGTTTCTCACAGTTCTGAATGAACCCATTTAATAATTTGTTCATGAATGCCATTTTCTGGGTCCATAAAATTAAATTTGTGGTTCACTTTCCATTGCTCAAAACTAGCTTTTCGCAGTCAATGACTGCTGTATTCCTTTCAACTATCAAAAAAGTTGACACAGCAAAACTTGATTATCTATATAGCTTGAGAAATGTCAAATGGCAGATGCATGAAAATTCCAGATAGTCTACACATACAAAAAATGCGATTCACAGTAGAGAAGCCAGACGAATGGAACAAGAAATTTCTGCTCTAAAATTATAAGAACAATAATTTACGTCCTGTCAAAAGCCTACGTTTAAAATGCGATTTCAGGAAGAAAAAATACAGAGTGTCTGTAATTAAAGAACTTTATTTCAGAGCCGTCTGATTAAAAAAGGCAAAACCAGTGATTAAAAAAATTGCAAAACTTTTTGGAAGACTTCCGGCATATAGCAGAAGTTCTGGATAGACCACGTTCAACTGTACATAAGATCTTGCGGAATATCCTTCGATATTATCCTTACAAGTTTTCACTAATGCAGTGGTCGCTTTAACATGATTTTGATGCTCAACTCTGGTTCCCACTTCAGTTTCTTGCTTGCTTTGAGGTCAATTCAGAATACTTTGGAATATCCTCTGGACAGATCAAGCACATTTTCATTTGGATGGTGCAGTGAATACTCACAACTGCCAAATTTGGGAATCAGAAAATCCATGCCCTATCTTAGAGGTTCCATTGCATTCACAAAAAGTGAAGGAATGGTTTGGATTTTCTGCACCATTTATTCTCGGCTAATACTTCTTCGAGGAGTTAAGTTCTACAGGTCCAGTGACATGCTCAATCACCGGACAGTGATGCGCATTGCTGTTACAGAATGAAATTGTTCCATCTGTGCTTCCATCTGTTCCCCTTCGGTGCTTTGCACACACAATCTTTGCAAGATAGGCTCCTCCACACATTGCACGGTGTGTTATGAATGTTCTCAAACGTCATTTCACTGAAAAATGTGTCACTAGCCAGCACTTGCATAATGTGTGGCCTTCCCACCAATGTTAAGCCACCAAAAGTACCCAAAAGTATACCAGCAAAAGTTTGAAGAAACAGACCTCTCTATATTTAATTAGATAATCAATGAAGTTATGGATGAAGCACATAAAAAACTTAAACTGCTTATAATAATTTTTCATGTTGCATCACAACTGCTTTTCAGTTTTCAGATATCATACATATCATATCCATTTATCCGACATTTATTATGAGTGGATCTCATAATTTTGAAAATACTCTGCTGCATGCTGTTCCATAGAAGGCAGGTGTCTCAAATTTTAATCATTTTTCCAAAATACAAGAGAAAGACAACTAGCAGTTGACATATCTTTTTTTTTTTTTTTTTACAAAAAACCAATTTATTGGGGAATTAATTAGGTGTAGATGGTGAAGATCTTAAAACTGTTTATGATGACTGAAGTGATACTTATCCACTCTTAATTCCACTATCTTTCAACAATTTTTGTTTGCCGAAAATGGCTTACTGGAAAAGATTCTATAAGGATGTGTCCAGTTGCAAGGATGATTTCTTGGGATAATATGTTAGGCACAATGCTGAAGCCCTGGGTTAGCAACATTTCTGAAAGAAAGCTGTGTAATTATACTTACGTTTTAGATGTGATTATTAGTTTTAGTGGGATTACAAACAATAGATCTATATATGTATGTTTCAAGATGCTTTTACAAGTATATCATTTCTGTAATTTTCCTTTTTTAGTACTAAAACATTCTGGTAAAGTCAGACAATCAGATTTTTACTATAGTTCCTTTTTTTTTGTGTGTGTGTGCTTTCAGATTTCAGCCATCACAATCACATTCTATTTGGAATGATCATCAATAGCTAAAAGAGCGCACAATCAACATTATTTTTACATCTTGTGAGCAGGTAAGTCTATTTTGGTGATGCTTTTTAATTTTAATATTCTTCTCTTTCCATGGAAGATATGAATGCTTATTGAAGGTAATTGCACTAATCGATAACTATGTTTGTCAAAAATCTCAGTTCTTTAAAAAATTGAGCTGACATCTATTCCTTTGCTCAACAACAGATAAAGCGAATAGCTGTTATAAAGGAAATATGGCTATCTTCAAACCAATTTCCTACCTGCAATCAAATACTTTACTTACAGTTTTTGGCATTATAGCTCCAAAAAATTTCATCTTTTAGTATGCACATTTTCACAGAATCAGAATTTTGCATTCTCTTTTATATAGCAAAATGCTATTATTTCTGAACAAATCCAAAGCTTTCATTTTCATCAGCCATCAAACTCCACAGTATCATATAAATTTATTATGAGAAAAGCAAATGCACTAAATGGGTAAAACTACCAATTGGAAGAATGGTGGTTAAATTAAATAAGTATAAATCACATATTTTCAAACACATGTGCTGCATATACATATGGAATGTCTATTTTTGCAAGTATACACATAAATGTATCAAAAACACGCCATAACTGAATGTGGATACTCAGAACATAAAAATTTAGCTTCTGATAATATCAAAACCAAACAAAATTTCAAATCTTAAATAAAACATATTGAAAATGTAATACATAACTTAGTCTTACTTGATTACACTGTCCATAAACATCAACAACAGCAAATGCAGGATGAGGGATTTCTTCAGCTGCAATGCCCTGATCTATATTGTTCACATACAGATGAAGGTTTCTTTCATGGTCTATTTGAACTCCTATCTTATTTCGACTTTTCAGAGTATTTAAGCTAGGACCATATTTAGCTTTTATCTATAAATTAGAAAATAAATTCAAATTTTAGGAATTCATTTCATAGGTATTTTTATCTTAATGACATAATAAAAACAAGCAAGTAAATATATAATAAAAATACAAATTTTAGGTTTTATTCAATTAAAAATCCCTGTATAAAAAATGACAGCAAATGCAGCTCAGGAAAAACCATAAAAGAATTTCGAAGTCAACTGCACATTAAAGATTATTTCTTTACATAATAATTCATTTATGTTTATTAACATATAAATATGAAAAATTCAGTATAATGGCATTTATGCCAGCAAAAAGCTATGTGTAAAATTATTTTAAAAGGCAATAAAATCTTGCAATAAAAAACTGCCAAAAGAAATTCTACTTACTTTCATACCATTATAGAAAACTGCATCTCCACTTATCACCCAAGTACCACGCCTCATTGAGAGTGCAGATATGGGTAGACATACTTGATCTGGGCTTTGAGTGCTAACACCAATTTGTACTGACCCTGACCAATCAGAATGAAGGTTATCAATTTTAATCTAAAATGAAAAAGAAAAGATAAACTAGAATGAAGAAACCAAAATTACAATTAAACAGCAAAAATACCATAAAGGAGTATTCAATAATAATATAAAATAAACAAATATAAGAAATATATTGTATTGTTGTTATTCAAAGTCAATCTGACAGCACTGAGAAAGCTGCATTATGTACATTTTTATTCTGAATATTGTTTCATGAACCAATATAAAATATTTGGATGTTTACTACAGTTTAATTAACTTCAGCATGAAATGATCACCCATGGTATTGCTGCATTTCTTTTTACAAACAATTGCCTGTTTCTCTTGCTTCCCCGTTAAAAGAAATATTGTTCGAGGGAGTTTGCAAAATAATAATCATTGATAAACTGTGTGAAGACAATCTTGTGTAGAAGGCACAAACCTTACTTTTTATGATTTTCTTCATTTCAAAAAAAGAAAGGGGGGAAAAAAAAAGACATATATTTATTAGTAGCATTATTTCATTATAGAGTTTCAGATTCATATTTGTACCAATCGATATAATGTTTATAATATGCTATTTATTAGTAGTATTATTTTATTATAGAGTTTCAGATTCATATTTGTACCAATCGATATAATGTTTATAATGTGCTAACTGTCAAATATCAATTACAGTAAAATAAGTTTATTGGTGATTTCTGCTCTGATGTCAATAAAAGCTAATACAGGTATCACATATAAAAGAATAAATAAATGCTCTAATGATCAAATTATTCCTTGTTTTCACACAATAAAAAAAATTGTATTATTTCTCATAAATGAAAAATTTTCTACAACAGTATCATTATAGAATACATTATTTGGCACAGATGTTGCACAGTATCCTTTCTCTACAACCAAATGAAAGCTAACCTTTCATTTGAATACATTTCTTAATTTGATTTAATTTCTCATCCAAAAAGGCAATTACAGTATAACAATAATGTAATACTGTATGTGTTTACAAATAATTTTGTAGTAAAAACTATATTCAAATATCAAAACTATACCTTAAATTACTTATAAATTTGACCAAAGAAATTTTTTCACCTTGAGAATTTAATTTTCATAAACACTGCATAATCCTACAACTTGAATATATTATATCCAGTTTGCTTACAGAAAGTTATTAATTGTAGAAAGGAAGGAATGAGAGGTAAAAAAATAAGATCCATTACAAGTATTGTTACGTAGAAAAAAAAAATAAAAAATTACCTTTTCAATTCATTTACTCATTTAACTTTTAACTGACTTCTTAACTAACTTTCTCTTTGGTGCCGCGACATAAAAATAATAATAATAATAATAATAATAAACTAAGTAACTACTCTCACATAATCAAAATCTTAAACTTCATATCAAAGAAATAATGAAAATATCCTCCCTGGTGTTTTGGAAAAAAAAAAAAAAAAAAAAAAAAAAGAGAGAGATTGTCAAAACAAAATGTAAAAATGCATTTCCACATCAAAATCATTAACACGCTATCTCTCACTAAACCATAAAACTAATTCAGATTTCTAACCTGAAAACACATAAATTTCAAATACAAATTTAGAGATAGCCATAAAAGACTTAACACTTAAAATACCACTCAGATCTCTTCAAAACACCAGGGAAAGGTACATCTCACACTTAAGAAGTCTACCCATCAAATCAAAATAAATTAAGTAACCGATCGTATAGTCACAACTCTTAAAACTGATTTTTCTACTACCGCAATATGGTTACCCAGGTTCGATAGAATAACCATGTTCCGTAAGGATCACATGGGTGACTTACAGTAGACCACAGTTAACTCAAAGAAACGTACAATATTAAAAATAAGAAACACATTTACTGAATATTCCCACACATTATAATTTAAGATAGCTGGCCAGACTACCCCTACAAAATCTTTTTAAAAGTTACTCATAGTTTTTTTTTTCCGTATCAATCTCATTTTAAACATTATTCCATTAATACAAAAATCATAGTGAAATGCCTCATATTAATCCTTTAAATATGTACTCAATTTAAACTCATAACAATTAAACATATAAAAAAGACATAACTATCATCTTCTCAACTATTAATTATTCATCAAACTTTCTCAACTATTAATTAATTTATTAGTAGCAGAATCCTAATTTTAATCTATATAAAAGGTCAGCTAAGGTGTTAGGATTTAATTCTTCCGAAATCCTAATGATTACTTATAAAAGAAAAGCAAAAATTAAAATAAAAATGTACACTCATGAATTCAGCATAACACAAGTCTGAGCGACTCGAGGAGCAGCGATCCAGTCATAAAACGTTGAAACAATTACTGCCAGAACTTCGTCATTGTCAGGAAAACCGATACTGAAGTCAGTTCAATGGGAAGTACAATGGGAAATTTTCATCAGTTCAAAATAGTTCAAATAGTTCCAGCACTACTCTGTCCGATAGCATTTTAACTCTAAAATCATCCGGTGAAATGTTCGTGCTGACGCTGTGGATAAAAACAGACAAACAGACAAGAGGAGATGATGACAGTCAATAATCTCTGGAATAATCTGCATCTTCAGAGTGAAACCTTCAGAAAAATACTTGAAAAGGCAGCCACTCCTTTTATTCAGTATTATCATCCCAAAATCTGTATCTTCGGCGTGAGGAATTCGGGATTAATGGGAAAAGAAGACGTGCCCTTACTCTATATTCCATGCCATAAGAAAAATCTGTCTCTTTCTACTAAAAAAACCACCATTATGAAACCAATAACATTGTGCCGCAGGACAGGAAAAACACTTCGCCGCCGTCTATCACAATGAGACTCCAAACGGCCTCGGACAGGCCTCCGCAACCAGAACCAAGGGGACATGGTAATATCCCTTAACTGCAACCCACAGTCAACCCCCGAAGGGTTGCCGCATTTCTCTTTTTTTTTTCCTCCTAAAATCACTTTTTTTCAGTCCAAATGTCTGCTCCTGCCTCTCATGCAATGACTTAAGAAAACTTGGTTGACACTCACCAAGAAACGCCTCAAAATCACTATTGGCTCAAACAACACTAAAATTAAAAATTTAACCAATCTTAACGAAACGTGCACCCCCTTTAGCCAACTACAACCAGGTGATAAACCATGACGAAATTTCCAAGAAAATTCAGAACTCTCAGCAAGATGACGGACCCTTTCTTTCCCACGCAAAGCGGAATGTTTCTAATCTATAACTCTTTCAAATAATCGCCGCCCCTTAGAACTATTTGCCTCTGAATGAGCAAAACGTGTGTTTTCAACCCCCACGAAAAGAGAAAATGCAGCTGGCCACAACTGACCGCTTCTTGGGAAACGGAATTAACAAGCCTTGCCCTTTTTTTCTGAATCTTTTTTTCCTATATTAGCAAGAAAGATTCTTTTGGCACCAATTTTTTTTCCCACCATATCAACATTTATACAAGAGTGACCAATTTATGCCTTTACACTTCAGTTTCTTTATTCATAGTATCATATGAAATTTTAAAGAAACATCATAAAGAATAGATTGACAACATTTATACAAGAGTGACCAATTTATGCCTTTACACTTTAATTTCTTTATTCATAGTATCCTATGAAGTTTTAAAGAAAAATCATGAAGAATAGATTGACAAACATACAAAGATCAATAACTGCATTGCAACAATACATGCATATGCAAACTCAGCTTCTGAAAGTGAAAAAAATGCCCCTTCCTTGCTTCATTTGTGCAAAAATTGCAGGTATTGTATTTGTTGAAACTCTCACCAACAACCACATGATTTGCTCACGCGCGTAGCAAAAACTAAATCAAAACTTTTTAGTTGAACTTTGAGAACTCGTGATGGACGTTTGAGTGAAACATGTAATCCTTATCTTTCTGTGTATATATATATATATATTAGTTTAGTGATGTTATTGTAATTAAATATCTTATTATCTTAGAAGCCTCCCTTTTTCTGTGAGTAGTGTAGTGTATAGATGTACTTAGGAAAAATACTCCCGGAGATCCCTTTGGAGAAGAAAGAAGATCGACTAAAAGGTAAGCCCTTTTACCTTTTATTTTCTAAGAATTATACATTTTTTGGCATCCCGTGCCGCGAATGAAGCCGAATTGTTGATACTTGTCGAATTACTGATTATTAAACAATGACGGAATTCATCGATATATTGAAAAGGAAACGCGGCCACATAAGAGCTGCCGTTACAAAATTAATTGACCGAATTGAAACTGAATTATCAAAAACAGAAGTGAAAGCAGAGGAACTAGAAATTTCCTTAGAACTCTTAAACGAAAAATCGAACGAGTTAAAACAAATAGATGGCGATATAGAAAAATTAATAGACATAAAGGATCTAGACCAGGAATTAAATGGTGTTGACGAATATCGTGAAAGAATAACTATATTTAAATACAAAGCTAACAAAAAATTGAAAGAAATTAATACAGTCAAAAGTCGTTAATCCAGACTCATCGGGACTTCGGCGATTCCGGATTATTGATTTTTCCAGATTATAGATCATCAGTTTAAATCTGGTAAGATGGCATGCAGAAATTATAAAATTAAAAATATGAAACCGTAATTTATGAAATAAACAACAATTATGATCTAAAAGGTATCAAAATTTACAAAAAAAAAAGAGCTTAATATTTATTTGTTTACTTTATTAAACATTTCTTTCAATGTAAGTTGCTTCGTTTTTTATGTGATAATACATTCTCTTTAATTCTATAAATAGACATAATTTCTTGTTCAGTTACAAAGTTCCACTGTTCAAGTTCTATAATTGCTGTGTCGAGAATACCGACTAATTTGTCAATCGAAATTTTTTAGTTTTCACTTTCTCTGTCACTTTCTTCGCTATCAGAAGCGAAATATAATGACGAGGAATTTGATTTAAATCATATCAAAGACTGAGTACATCGAGATGAAATACTACATTTAGTAAGGAATCATAAGCCAAATAAAATAAAAACATCTGCCCTGAAGATAAGGATAGTGCTGACAGATCAACTTTT